ATAGGCTTCGCGTCTTATTATCGACGTTTTGTCGCCGGGTTCGCTACCATCGCAAAAGCCCTCCACACCTTGATGGCCAAGGGTCAGAAGTTTCATTGGGGGAACGCGGAGGAGGCCGTATTTGTTGCGCTCCGCAATGCCTTGGTGAACGCCCCTCCACTCCGCTCCTGCCATGGCTGCTCCTACCACAGCCTGCCACTGGTTCTTAATGTTCTGCAGATGTAGATGCCATCACCGCTATATTTTGTGTGGCGGTTGAACTTACGACTCTCGGTCCGAACAGTCAACTGGACACACGGGACCAGGTTTGTTCGTATCTCTGAAAGTTCGTAAGTCGAGGAGTCCCTGTATGTTGAACTTCTTTCGCACCTTACATAGCCAAACCCGTGCGAAACAAACTAAACACACAGACACACACAAAGCAGTTATCAAGAAATGCGTGTGCTAATCTTGATGATTTAAAAATGCATAAGCACCAGGCAGGGGCCTCCTCGTGTCGATCCAGATGGCCGCAGAAGCGCAGGTGAATGCGCGCGTGATCAGATGGCCACGGTCTTTGTTCAATCGCTATCGCCAACATCCGCCGCCGCTGCTGCGACGATTCTAATTACGACGATTAACAACCAAACAACGTCAAGGGAGGGGACCGGCGGCTTAATCCGTCACTCGATCTTTTCCGAATGAAAATATTTACCGCCGCGCAAAGTTCGCCCTCCCTCTGCGAGTCGATTAAAAATTAACAAATATCCAACATCGTGTCGCGTGCGGTAAAAATGCACCCCCCCCACCTTTCATCCCCCCCACCCCACCCACCTTTCGTCCCCCCCCCACCTTTCGTCCCCCCCCCACACCTTTCGACCCCCCCCCACACCTTTCGTCCCCCCCCACACCTTTCGTCCCCCCCCCACACCTTTCGTCCCCCCCCCCCCACCTTTCGTCCCCCCCCCCCCACCTTTCGTCCCCCCCCCCACCTTTCGTCCCCCCCCCACCTTTCGTCCCCCCCCCACCTTTCGTCCTCCCCCCACACCTTTCATCCCCCCCCACCTTTCACCCCCCCACCACTTTTCATCCCTCCCCACACCTTTCACCCCCCCCCCACACCTTTCATCTCCCCCCACCTTTCACCCCCCCACCACTTTTCATCCCTCCCCACACCTATCACCCCCCCCCCACACCTTTCATCTCCCCCCCCACACCTTTCATCTCCCCCCACCTTTCACCCCCCCACCACTTTTCATCCCTCCCCACACCTTTCACCCCCCCCCCACACCTTTCATCTCCCCCCCCCCACACCTTTCACCTCCCCCACCACTTTTCTTCCCCCCCAATCACCTTCCATCCCCCCACTTTGTACCCCCCCCCCCATCTTTCACCATCTCATCACTGCGGCGCTCGACGATTTGGACCACGAGGCGAGCCAACAACAGTTTTATTATTTTTTATTCCTAATCCACACGCAACCACCTGCCACGCCACGTGGTGTCGCGAACGGCAAGGGTGGTGGCGCTGGTGGTGGTGGCGGCGGTGGTGGCGGCGGTGGTGGCGGCGGTGGTGGTGGTGGCAGTGGTGGTGGCGGTGGTGGTGGCGGCGGTGGTGGTGGCAGTGGTGGTGGCGCTGGTGGTGGCGCAAAGTGGTGGCTATACATCTCCCCCGCCTCGCCCCACAGCCCCCCCCCCCCCCCCCCATATTGGAGAGCGGCCCACAGAACTGGATATCACAGAGCTACTTCTGACCTCGCCTCTTCATTCAGTTACCCTGTGGTCCACGCACAGTACAGGGCACCACCTTCCCACCGGCCGCAGTACAACTCTGGAGGCCTCTCTGGAGAGTGGTTCCTCGCGGGAGCACATTTGCCGTGGGCAAGCAACTTGCAGGGCTGCACCTTGACCTCGACCTTCCACGTGATGGTACTGCATCGCTCGGGTCACACGCAGTGGTTTGGCGCACTCCGATTAGCACGGCTGGCTACGTGTGGTGCGAAAGAAGTTCAACGCACACGCATCGACCGCGTCACGAATCCGGCGACTTGAGTTCGATTCCCGGCCACGGTCAGACATCAGTGGCGAGTGATAGCGGAACCGGTTCCCGTGGATTGATCGTGGCTGATGATGATGACGTCATAAGAAGATACATTGCAGCCACGTGAACGTGGAATTTCCACCCAGTGGCATTATCAAAAGAGATTAACACTGGCTCAGAATCATTACATAGGAAACCACTGAAGACTTTTATGAAAACATTTTGGTGGAAGGGGGGATGGACCCAAGTTATGATCGAGTCCACATGCTCCTGGCACCGTCGCTGTCACACAGACACAGCCTGCGGTGGTTGCACAGGGGGGGGGGGGGGAGCAGTCGCTATGCCTGGGGACACCCCCCCAGTGGCAGCTGTCCCCGACTGGCACGTGACACGGGAACTTCAAAGACGTCCTGTGGTCCGATCCAGCGAAAAACCAGGCGCCGCAGTATTAACCAGGGCAGCCCCTGCCGGGATTCGAACCGCGAACCGCATTTGCAACGAGTGGCGAACGCACGGCCGCCGATCCACAGAGGCCGCCAATGGATTTCTTTTGCGAGCACAAATTTGAAGTCACGAAGGTTCCGTCTGTTCATAAGCCGACGACCCAAATCATCAGCCAGTTGAAATGCATAAGTTGGCAAGGTCAGTCAGTTCAGAATTCAACCAACCAAGTCACCAGGCCAGGTCAGAACTCAACTAACCAAGTCACCAGGCCAGGTCAGACCCCGACTAAAAACGTCATCAGCCAGTTCAGAACCCGACTAAACAAGTCATCAGCCGGTTCAGAACCCGACTGACCAAGTCATCAGCCAGTTGAAAACCCGACTGACCAAGTCACCAGGCAAACTCAGAACCTAACCAAATCGTTTCCTGAATATTCTCCCAGCAGATGGAGCGAAACGTCGGACATCGCGCCTATCATCATCAACAACAGCAACTAGCGGCACAACTCGATGGAGCAGCAGCAGGAGCAGCAGCAGGAGCGCGACCCGAGGTCGCATCGCTTACTTTGTCTCCTCGCTGTGGCCGGCGTTCTGCTCCAAAAGGAGCAGGTCCCAGAGGCGGCTCTGAGGTGTCAGTGGCGTCTCCCCTTCTTCCATGGTCCTCGAAGCTTCCACCTCCACCTGCACCTCCATCTGCTCCTCCACCTGCTCCTCCATCTGCTCCTCCTCCACCTCCTCCTCCACCTGCCCCTCCACCTCCTCCACCTGCCCCTTCACCTCCTCCACCTGCCCCTTCACCTCCATCACCTGCCCCTCCACCTCCATCACCTGCCCCTCCACCTCCTCGTGCTCTTCCTCAACCTCCTCGTGCTGCTCCGCGTGCCGCTGCTGCGTCTCCACCGCGGCGCTCGACATTCACCGTCCGCGTGCCCGCGGAGGCGCGAGAACGACGCCCCCTCCCCCCCTGTGCTCCCCTCCCGTCCTGGAGCGCGCAACTTTATTGGTGACCTTTAGATGCCACCTCCACCTGCGATGATGCTGCTGCTGCTGATAATGCTGATGATGCTGCTGATAATGCTGATGATGCTGCTGATGATGCTGATGATGCTGCTGCTGATGATGATGCTGCTGATGATGCTGATGATGCTGCTGATGATGCTGATGATGATGCTGATGGTGGTGCTGATGGTGCTGCTGATGATGCTCATGGTGCTGATGATGATGCTCATGGTGCTGCTGATGGTGCTGCTGATGATGCTCATGATGCTGCTGATGCTGGTGATGGTGCTGCTGCTGATGCTCATGATGCTGCTGGTGCTGCTGATGCTGCTGCTGCTGATGGTGCTGCTGATGATGCTCCCGAGCGAGTGGCGGAGCGAGCAGCGCGCTGGGCTCGCGATCCAGAAGAGCCGCGCCCACTCCGTTCCATCCTCACGGTTGTGGCAATTGACGACGACGATTACGATGAAACAAAAACACAAACGGTGCAAGTCCTATTGGCATGATGAGGCAAAGCGTGACTGGGATCACCCGGTAATTTATGTCCAAGCTGGACTCCCATTGACGCCCTCTGGGCTCGTGACATAACATCGCCACTGGGGAGACAAAGGCGGCCGGGCGTGGTGCTGGACACCCACCCCCTCGTGCGCCGTGCCGGCCTTAATAGGTGCTCGCTAACAGCACTTGCCCCGGCAGTCTGTTAAAGACTTCCTGGGGGATCTTTGTCTGTGCTTGCTAACGGCACTTGCCCCAGTAGTCTGTTGAACGCTACATGGGGGATCTTTTTCTGTGCTCGCTAACAGCACTTGCCCCGGCAGTCTGTTGAACGCTACATGGGGGATCTTTGTCTTTGCTCACTAACAGCACTTGCCCCGACAGTCTGTTGAACGCTACATGGGGGATCTTTGTCTGTGCAAAGATGCAACCACCGCTCAGGATGAGGTTTCCCACAACCCTGCCGCGGGGGCAAGGGTTGGTGGATCACGTCGAGATTTGTAGAGCTCACAAACCTGCTCAGGGCGCGTGCGAAGTTGGCCAGGAGACAAGAGTAGGGAGGGGGGGGCAAGTGGATTCGTGAACCCATCTGTGTGGACCTGCGAGTTGTTGATCTCCCTTGCACGCGACTTGGGTTCCCTCCCGACACCCGCGTTCGCTCGCGCACGGAAAGAAGTGGGCCATGTGGCCCAGAGACCAGAGAGGGGGGGAGGTGGGAGGACAGGGGGGGGGGGGGGGTGGGAGGAAGGGGGAAGGGGAGGAGGGGGAGGGAGGGGGTGAACGGATGATGAGGGAGGAGGGGAGAGAGGGAAGGTGAGAGGAGGGGAGATGGGGGAGATGGGGGAGATGAGAGGAGGGGAGGAGTGGGAAGGAGGAGGGGGGAGGAGATGAGGGGGAGGGGAGGGCTCTGCGTGATCTCCGATCGGACGCTTCGCCCCGTGACGACGACGCCGTCACGTCGGTGGCGGCGCTCGCCCCCCCCCCCCCCGCGGGGGTGAAACTCGAGAGAGAGACTCGGTAGGGAGAGTTTTTTTTGTTCCCTGGATAGGGGTGGTTATTATTGCTGCGAATATAAATGCGTGCGTGAATACACTCGTGAGCATTTGTATACATCTTTGGATTGCGCACGCGTCATTACACTGCAGGCGATTAGTGGGATGGACAGTTAATACACCGTCAGCACGTTTACACGAACCCCAATTAACCCTTTCCCGTTCCGATGACGTACACAGTGCACGTCATTGTTTTGTTCCGATGACGTACGTGGTGTACATTGCTAAATCTAAACCGGAAAAAAAAAACGACAAAAAAATAAAAACATGATCGGTACCAAGGCTGCCACAAGGCCGTGCGGGAGGGGCGTGCGGCACAGTGGTGACGCCGGCTATCGTAGAGTGGCGGTGGTCGTGTCGCCACGGTTCTCTGCGGTGAGTAGCGACGTCTTTAAACGCAACGGCGCTGCCGCTGCTGCTGCTGCTGCCGCGCCTCTCTAGATCAAATTAGCGCCGAGCTGGTCGCAAGTTCCGATACTCAGCGGTGAACGGGACACCCTCCCACCCACCCACCAGCCTGCTACTTGCAGACGTCTCGGAACGGGAAAGGGTTAAAAAGACTGAACAGCCCCATGCACATATATATATAGAACGTAAATATTAAAAGCTTTCGGCTAAAACTCTCGTTGGAAATGAGACCGCGTGCAGCTCTGATCTCGCCCACCGCCAGGCAGCCAAGGGGATGGTGGGGAGTGTGTGCAAGAGGGGCGCCCGGTGCGGAGATGGAGCGACGGAATTCGGCTGGCGAGCAGGTGTCACATCGCAGGATCGCGTGGCGTCGTCATCGTCATCATCGTTTGTAATTGTCATCGTCTTCATCATCACCATCATTATCGTCGTCTTCGTTATCGTCATGATTGTCATCATCATCATCATTGTCGTCATCGTCGTCAGGGATGATCGATCCGCTGCTGGACGGAAGCTGTCCCCAAAGCATCCCGCTGGGATGATCATTTGCCGGGCGACCGTAACGGCCGCTCATCGCCGCTGTCGCAGCCGAGACGGAACCCCCGAGGTGTCCGCTCCGGAATGCGTGGACGCGACGGTGCATGGCGATCATCGCACCAGGAAGGCGCCGCTGCTGTGTGACGGACATGGCCTGCGGAGGGTTCTCGGGGAGTGAGCGACGCTGCTGCTGATGCTGACGCTCACGCTGCTGCTGCTGCTGATGCAGCTGATGCCACTGCTGCTGATGCTGCTTCTGTCACCCCACGTGAGCGCTGTGCGGTGTAAATTCGTCAAATTTACCACGGGGACGTTGCCCACGCGCGATGGCCTCACCCATTTCTGGACGGTGCCATCCACCGTGGAGCCGACGGCGCACTGCGATGCGTCAACGTTAACGCGCTGCGATGCATCACTATTATCGCGCTGCGATACGTCACCATTACCGCGCGTGGCAGCATGACCCAGGGGGCGGCCCGACACACACCAACCACAAACCCTCGCGACGAGCGGCGACCGCGGCGCCGCTCGGCCGCCGGCGGTGCCGCCGTGCTATCCTGTCGATGTCATCGACGAACATTGTCGCCCTCGTGCTTCAACACGGAAATACGCAATAAATAAAATAAACCCCAATCTTGGAGGAAAATGAAATCTCCCGACCGATTCGCGCTCGGGGCGCCGCCGAGAGCCGGTCAGCGGCGGGACGGCGGCGTCGGCGCCGGCGGAGGATGCCGGGGGGCGGCCGTGGCGCTCAGCTGGGCGTAGGCGGCGGAGCGCAGGAAGCGGGGGTACGAGTCGCCCTCCATGAGGCCGCGGATCCGCGCCTGCGCCGAGCGGAAGGCGCCCGGCGACGCCGGCGCTGCCCGCAGGCGCTCCGACACGGCTGCTCGCGTCATCGCGTCCAGGTTCACCTGGCGGCGGCACGGGCAGTGGGCGGAGACATGACCACGGCGGCGGTGTTGGTTATCACGGTGGTGGTTGTGGTGGTGGTTGTGGTGGTGGTTGTGGTGGTGGTTGTGGTGGTGGTTGTGGTGGTGGTTGTGGTGGTGGTTGTAGTGGTGGTTATAGTGGTGGTTATAGTGGTGGTTGTCGTGGTGGTTGTCGTGGTGGTTGTGGTGGTGGTTGTGGTGGTGGTTGTAGTGGTGGTTGTAGTGGTGGTTGTAGTGGTGGTTGTGGTGGTGGTTGTGGTGGTGGTTGTGGTGGTGGTTGTGGTGGTGGTTGTTGTGGTGGTGGTTGTCGTGGTGGTTGTGGTGGTGGTTGTAGTGGTGGTTGTGGTGGTGGTTGTCGTGGTGGTTGTGGTGGTGGTTGTGGTGGTGGTTGTAGTGGTGGTTGTGGTGGTGGTTGTGGTGGTGGTTGTCGTGGTGGTTGTGGTGGTGGTTGTAGTGGTGGTTGTGGTGGTGGTTGTGGTGGTGGTTGTGGTGGTGGTTGTGGTGGTGGTTGTAGTGGTGGTTGTGGTGGTGGTTGTAGTGGTGGTTGTGGTGGTGGTTGTGGTGGTGGTTGTGGTGGTGGTTGTTGTGGTGGTTGTGGTGGTGGTTGTTGTGGTGGTGGTTGTCGTGGTGGTTGTGGTGGTGGTTGTAGTGGTGGTTGTGGTGGTGGTTGTAGTGGTGGTTGTGGTGGTGGTTGTGGTGGTGGTTGTCGTGGTGGTTGTAGTGGTGGTTGTGGTGGTGGTTGTCGTGGTGGTTATGGTGGTGGTTGTGGTGGTGGTTGTGGTGGTGGTTGTAGTGGTGGTTGTCGTGGTGGTTATGGTGGTGGTTGTGGTGGTGGTTGTCGTGGTGGTTGTGGTGGTGGTTGTCGTGATGGTAGTGGTGGTGGTAGTGGTGGTGGTTGTGGTGGTGGTTGTTGTGGTGGTTGTCGTGGTGGTTGTGGTGGTGGTTGTTGTGGTGGTTGTCGTGGTGGTTGTGGTGGTGGTTGTCGTGGTGGTTGTGGTGGTGGTTGTCGTGGTGGTTGTAGTGGTGGTTGTCGTGGTGGTTGTGGTTGTCGTGGTGGTTGTGTTGGTGGTTGTCGTGGTGGTTGTGGTGGTGGTTGTGGTGGTGGTTGTAGTGGTGGTTGTCGTGGTGGTTGTAGTGGTGGTTGTCGTGGTAGTTATAGTAGTGGTTGTGGTGGTGGTGGTTGTCGTGGTTGTGGTGGTGGTTGTCGTGGTTGTGGTGGTGGTTGTGGTGGTGGTTATGGTGGTGGTGGTAGTTGTCGTGGTTGTGGTGGTGGTTGTGGTGGTTGTGGTGGTGGTTGTAGTGGTGGTGGTTGTGGTGGTGGTTGTGGTGGTGGTTGTCGTGGTGGTTATAGTGGTAGTTGTGGTGGTGGTTGTCGTGGTGGTTGTGGTGGTGGTTGTAGTGGTGGTTGTGGTGGTGGTTGTGGTGGTGGTTGTGGTGGTGGTTGTCGTGGTGGTTGTATTGGTGGTTGTGGTGGTGGTTGTGGTGGTGGTTGTAGTGGTGGTTGTGGTGGTGGTTGTAGTGGTGGTTATGGTGGTGGTTGTGGTGGTGGTTGTCGTGGTGGTTGTGGTGGTGGTTGTCGTGATGGTAGTGGTGGTGGTAGTGGTGGTGGTTGTCGTGGTGGTTGTCGTGGTGGTTGTGGTGGTGGTTGTGGTGGTGGTTGTAGTGGTGGTTGTCGTGGTGGTTGTAGTGGTGGTTGTCGTGGTAGTTATAGTAGTGGTTGTGGTGGTGGTGGTTGTCGTGGTTGTGGTGGTGGTTGTGGTGGTTGTGGTGGTGGTTATGGTGGTGGTGGTGGTGGTTGTCGTGGTTGTGGTGGTGGTTGTGGTGGTGGTGGTTGTGGTGGTGGTTGTGGTGTGATGCAACGTGGCAACCTGAGCTCGATTCCCTCTCACAGCCAACACCAGTGACGGTTATCTGAACCGGTCCTGGGCCTCCCCTAGATCGGCTAAAAAGATTGGCTAACCCTGGTGATTGCGGTGATTTGCTTACCAGTCCTATACTTTGCACTCCTATCGTTTTTTTCGTATCATTCGTTGCTGTAACTTTCCGACTGGCCCCTCCTTGACATCTGCGATAAGAAAAGCTTCATAGCTCATCAGATTCCTCCAGTGTGAATAAAGATGTGTACATCTAGATTGGAAACTCATTTCTTTTTAAATGCTTTTCGCTGCCCCCCCCCTCCCCGCACCTCCGATAAAGCACGGTTTGGCTACGTACGGTGCGTAAGAAGTTCAACAAACGCGCACGAACATCCTGATCCTGAAGCAACGTCACACAGAATCTCTCGACCAGGCCCCAAGCGACCGCACATCCCCCTCCCCCCACCCACCTCGCGTGGGGCCTGCGTGGCCACGAACTCGCCGTAGATCTTGCGGGCGTGCGCCGATCGGCGCGACGCCGATCCCAGCCGCTGGTGCTCGCGGCACGCCAGCCAGAACTCGAGGTTCTCCTCCGAGAACTCGCTGCGCAGGAAGGCGTGGAACAGCCGCACGCCATCTGCTCGCCACGCACGCGGAAGGCAACGTCACAAAGGGGGTGGGGGGAGGGGCGTGGTGGTGCGGGGGGGAGCGACGTCGCGTTTCGGATGGCACGGCGATCGCAGCGGTGCCGACCTCCTAGAGCGGTTTCGACGCGCGGGGTCTCATCGGCAGCTCGCTTGGTTCTAAACAAAACTGTCAGAAGTGACCAGGCCATCGCAAATTATAGCTCAATGAAGTGGCTCATCATCATCATCATCATCACGCGGAAATTTACAGCAGCCAAATACTCTGAACGCGTCTCGTTGATTCTAAATCTGGAGGGTGTAAAACCGGAGGACCCGGAGAAAAATCCACGTGACCACGGGGAGAGAGACATCGCAAACTCCAGATGCACAGCAGGCGTCAGGGTCAGGATCGAACCCGCGACCTTCTGTATACCAGGCGAGGTAGTTAACATCTCCTAGCCACCGCGGCGCACACAATACCGGTGAACCGCCAAAAGTTTCTCGGCACGCCGCAGCGTTAACCAGGGCGGCCTGCCGGATTTGAACCACGAACCTCTGCAACGAGCGGTGGTCACCGCTGGGCTGCTTCACCGCCCTGCGAACGCAGCGGCGCCTCCCGTCGCGAGAGTCCTCGCCGCTACGAGAACGTCGCGCGGGATACCAACGGTGGTGCGCCGCTATATGACCCATCGACGGGCCACCGGGAGAGTAAAGGAGAGGTTGACGAGACTCACGCTTGTGAGAGAGGACGTTGTCGAAAGACTCGCTCCAGCTCATCACCTCCTCCGCACTCGGCCTGCGTGACGAACGTGAACAAGGTCAGTATTGGTCGACTGAGCCCGCCCACCACGACTGTTGAGGCCACCCACTACCCCCCCGTTGACTCCACCCACCACGAACCACCACCACTACCCCCACTGACTCCACCCACCACTGCCCCCCTATGACTCCACCCATCACTACCCACACTGACTCCACCCACCACTACCCCCAACTCACTCCACCCACCACAATCCTCCAGACTCCACCCACCACTACCCCCCCCACTGACTCCACCCACCACTACCCCCCACTGACTCCACCCACCACTACCGCCCCCCCCCCCGCTGACTCCATCCACCACGACATCCTGCACAGGAAGGGGTGGGGCCTGCACAGGAAGAGGCGGGCCCTCCAGAAAATGGGGGCGGGGCCTAAAAAGGAAAGGCGCCGAGCCGAAGAGGGAAGAGGCAATGGGATGGTGCCTAACGGGTAAGGGGAGAGGAGCAGGCGATGCCTGAGTAACAGAAGCACAGCAGAGCCGGGGATGTGGCCACCGGCCAGCTGGCGAGGCTTAAACGGTGTTACGGTTAAGGAGGGGAGAGGGGGTGAGGGGGGGTCTTGCCTGGAGGCCCGAGTGAGCCTGCCGAGGAACGTCTCCCCGTGGCCAGCTGTCGGCGTCGCTGCTAACTGCCCGTCGTGTTTCCGACGCAAAAAGCCCAGCCGAGTTTTCACGTCTCTGGCTCTGAAAGCGGGAAGGGGTGAGAAACGCGAGCGTGTGTGTGCGTGTGTGTGCGTGTGTGTGCGTGTGTGTGTGTGCGTGTGTGTGAGAGAATTAAACATTAAACAACAATAATAATAACTCAATGAATGTGACCTTTATGCTTTTGCTGATTGTGGAATAAGCGGTGGATATCACTCAGGTTATGAAGTCTATGAGTGTTTGGCTCCATACACGAGTCTTGGACTCTTCATGTAAAGCTATGTGATAATATGAGTATCTACATCCACCATCACCATCACCACCACCGACCACCACCCTACCCACACAATCACCCACCCACCCGAATATCATCACCACCCACAACAACAACAACACCCTCCATTCACCAGTAAGTGGTGGTGACGTCACCACGGCACCTGTGACAGGCCAGGTGCACTTTGAGGGCACGCAAAGCGTCGAAGGATCTCTGCTGACAGGAGGTCACGGGACAGACCCAGCAGGTGCCATGGGTTGACCGACTAAGATCACTGGTGGATGCACCAGCTCTACTCCCTACTGTGCCAACAAAGGAAAAAGATCCCCCGTATCACCTTCCAAGTGCTGTTAGCGAGCACCTATGTAGGCCGAAAATGGCACACGAGGAGGTGGATGGCCAACACCACGCCCGGCCACCTTAATCTCCCCAGTGGCAATGTTTACGCACTGCACCAGGTACTCATTTAAGGCCGAGTCGACCTAGGGTACGCCCACGCCCGGTGCAGATAATCGTCACCGGTGTTGGCTGTGAGCGGGAATCGAACTCAGGTCGCCGGATTGCGTCGCGCAGCGTAGCGCTAACCGCTGCACCACCGCTTCCCGCACAGTGCCAACACATACACAGATGATGATGACGACGATGGCCTGGGCCGGGACTCTCACTCACATGTCCGTAGCTCGCCGCTTGTGCTTGGGGGCTTCACACGCGAGGTCTGCGCCGAGCCCCTGGCTGACAGCGCCGTCCCCTGAACTGGCGCCCCGGTTCTGGAGCAGCGCCTCCTGATGGTGGCACCGGCCCAGACACATGGCAATCCAGAATCATCTCAACTCAGCCCACGTATGTTGTTTGTCTATGGGTCTCTAGGTGAGTCTATGGGTCTCTGTGTAAGTCTATGTGTCTTTATCTGAGTCTATGGTTCGCTATGTGAGTCTATGGGTCTCTGCATGAGTCTATGGGTCTCGTGTGAGTCTCTATACGAGTCTATGGGTTTCTGTGTGAGTCTATGCGTTTCTATATTAGTATATGGGTGTAAATGTGAGTATATGGGTTTATATGTGAGTCTATGGGTTTATATGTGAGTAAATGGGTTTCTATGTGAGTCTATGGGTTTAAATTTGAGTCTATGGGTCTCTGTGTGAGTCTATGGGTTTCTGTGTGAGTCTATGGGGCTTTGTGCGAGTCTATGGGTTTCTATGTGAGTGCGGGTCTAGATGTGAGTCTAAGGGTCGATATGTGAGTCTTTGCTTCCGTAATTCTTTAGAACTGACAACATTATTTTTAGATTGAAAACTAATTTGTTTAGAACTGCTTGTTTTTGTGTTTAGTTTAGTGTCATCCTTCCACCACCCCTCCGATTAGCACGGTTGGCGGTGCGAAAGAAGTTCAACTTTCACACATACAACGAGGAATTCGTGAGTCCCTACGTAGACCTATGGGCTCTCTATTTGTTTCTACGAGTCTCTATGCAGATGTAGCATTAATACTGACGCGATCCGGGGGTATAAATACCCAAGGGATCCCAGGTTTCTGTTAAAGGTGACGTCAAGGACGAAAAGAAAGTGAGGGCGATGGGGCATGAGAGAGACAGGGAACGCCCAGGAGGGGGGTGGTGACGTCACCGGATGAGGCAGGGCGATGGAGGCGCCTCCTGGTGGGATTTGGAGTGGAGTGGTCGCACACGGCGTGAGCTCGCACGGAAAATCAAGATGAGTCGTGTCATCTCAACCTTCGTCTGGTGGACTCACTATATACAGCTCTCTATCTGAGCCTACGGGACTCTCGTGCAAGTCCAGGGCCTAATTTCTACCGGAATATTTCCGGGGCCGCCGGTAGACCGGAGCAGGTTTTGCACGCGACTATTAATAACCACAACTCGTGTGTAGAGTGGAGGCATACCGGACGTGGTGGTGCCGGGCGCGCTAAACGTAGAACCCCGGGCGTCGCCCCCTCACCTTTTGGAAGTTGAGGAAGGGCGCGTAGACGGCCGGGTCGTCGCCTCCCATTGACGCCCTCCCTCTGGACAGGAAGTGCCGCCCCCCGGCCGCCTCTCGCCCCGCATCCGTAGAGGCGGCGCCAGCTGTGGCGCCCACTCTGGCGCGAGGCCACGCCTCCCGGGTGGCGCCCCCGCGGCGCCCGGCCGCCGTGGCCGCCAGGAGGTCGTCCTCGCTGCGCGCGCGACGCCACGTCGTCGCCGCCGCCGTCACTGTCACTGTCGCGGCCTCTGCCGGGGCCTCCCTGCAGTGACCCGCAACGTTCCGGTTAGGGCGGTGGTCTGGACAAGGCGGAGAGGTTGCGAGCGTGCGACGCCGCTGGCCAGTCCCAACGGGGGCCAAACCGGCCTGCCGCCAGACCCGGTCCGACAACGCTGGGTGGCGACGGTCGCCGGAACGTAACGAGTCGCCACCGTGGCGGTGCTGCTTGCTGCGGGCGGTGGCTGGGCCGATGAACCAATTCGGACTGCACACCGCTCACCCGCGCACGCTATTGGTACAGCCTGCGGCTCTTTCTTTTTCTCATCTGCTGCCTGTGGTGGCGGCTACATTTACTAAACTCGGTGGGACTCTAGACAGCACATTGGTCTCTGTGCGAGTCTATGGGCCTCTATGCCATTCAACGAATCTCTATGTGCATCTATGAGTCTCTGCGCGAGTCACTGGTGACCGGGCTCAGACCATCAACTCACTGCACCAAAGGCAGCAGCTGGAACGTGGATTCGAACCCAGGCTCCCAGTGGTGCGAGCTCCGTGTGCCTCTGACCTCCGAGCCACCCAGAGGCCCCCTCCTTTTCCTCCTCCGCCGTGCATGAACCCCGACTGAACATGACACGTGCAGTGAACACCCTCACCTGTGTCCCAGCATGCACGTCTCCTTGATGGCTGCGTGCTCGTTACGGTGGCCCTCACGACGGAGCTCCGAGCCGGGCCCGACGTCCCAAGCGGCCGTGGCGCTGGAGACACGGCCGTGTTGCAGTGCCACCTCCGCCCTGGAGCCCACCTCCGCCCTGGAGCCCACCTCCGCCCTGGAGCCCACCTCCGCCCTGGAGCCCACCTCCGCCCTGGAGCCCACCTCCGCCCTGGAGCCCACCTCCGCCCTGGAGCCCACCTCCGTCCTGGAGCCCACCTCCGTCCTGGAGCCCACCTCCGTCCTGGAGCCCACCTCCGTCATGGAGCCCAGCTCCGTCATGGAGCCCAGCTCAGTCCTGGAGCCCACCTCCATCCTGGGACCAACTTCTATCTTGGGACTGACCTCCGCCCTGGCACCCACCTCCACCCTGGGATCCACCTCCATCCTAGAGCTCATCACCTTTTTTGTAGGACCCACAATTGTTGCCTGCAGCTCAGCTGCAAGGAGCGATAGATCTGAGATCTGTCGAATAAGATTTAGAAAAGATGAATTTAGCAAACTGCTTGTTATGCATCATCATCATCATCTACATCATCATCTCAAAAAGGTTACATTCATCATCGCCTATGGATTCGCCCCTGCCTGCCTCTCCCCTCTCATCGTCAACGGACTGCCGAACCGAGTGCTGTTAGTGAGCAGCAGCTATGAAGGCCGGCACGGCGCACGGTAGTGATGGGTGGCCAACACCACGCCCGACCGCCTTTGTCTCCCGAGCAGAGATGTTTACGTTTCGCGCCAGGCATTCATTTGAGGCTGAGTCGACCTAGGGGAGGCCCAGGACCGTGAGCGGGAATCAAAACTCTGGTCGCTAGGTTGCGCAGCGTAGCGCGCTAACCGTTGTGCCACCGCTCTCGCGTTCACATGAGCTCATGCACACGCGCAACAAAATTGGCGCACGCGTGCACACACACACACACACACGCCGACACGCCGACACGCACGCACTTAACAAGCAGTCCCGGGGGGCATGCGTAGACACAGAGAAGATCTACACACACGCAAAGATAAAGACAGATCCCCCATATAGCCTTAGAATGTAGGGGCAAGTGCTGTTAGCGAGCACCTATGAACACGAGGGGGTGGGTGGCCAGCACCACGACTGACCGCCTTTGTCTCCCCAGTGGCGATTTTTACACATCGCACCAGGTAACTAATTTGAGGCTGAGTCGACCTAGGGGAGGCCCAGGACCGGTTCAGATAATCGTCACCGGTGTTGGCCGTGAGCGGGAATCGAACCCGTGTCGCCGGGTTCATAGCGCAGCGCGCTAAGCGCTACACCACCACTCCCCACACGCACACGGGCACACACACACACGGGCACTCACGTACAGACACGCACACACGCACACGGGCACACACACGCACACACACACACACGGGCACACACACACGCACGCGCACACGAGTACACAAAACAAGACAAAGATCCCCCGTATAGCCTTAACAGACTGTAGGGGCAAGTGCTGTTAGCAAGCACCTATGAAGGCCGGAACGGTACACGAGGGGGTGGGTGGCCAGCACCACGCCCGACCGCCTTTGTCTCCCCAGTGGCGATGTTTACACACCGCACCAGGTACTCATTTAAGGCTGAGTCGACCTAGGGGAAGCCCAGGACCGGTTCAGATAATCGTCACTGGTGTTAGCCGTGAGCGGGAATCGAACCCGGGTCGCCAGGTTCATAGCGCAGCACGCTAACCGCTACACTACCGCTCCCCACACGAGTACACGCACACACGGGCACACACACACACGGGCATACACACACGCACACACACGGGCACAACACACGCACACGGGCACACACACCCACACACACTCACGAGCACACACACACGGGCACACACACATGGGCACACACACACACGCGCACACGCACACACGGGCACACACACACACGGGCACACACACACACACACGGGCACACACGCACACGGCCACACACACACACGGGCACACACACACACGCGGGCACACACGCACACGGGCACACACACACACGGGCAAACACACACGCACACACACGGGCACACACACGCACACACGCGCGCACACACACACACGGGCACACACACACACACGCGCACTCGGGCACATACACACACACGGGCACACACACACACACACGGGCACACACACACACGCGCACTTGGGCACACACACACGCGTCCCCCACACAGCAAGCAGTGGTCCTTGTCACCGCGCTCGTGCGCCGCTTCCTTCCCCCCACCCTCCCCCTCGGCCCCCCCCCCCCATGCCCCCCCCCCATGCCCCCCCCATGGCCCCCTCCTCTCTGCGTGGGAGGCCACTGCACTCACGAGCTGGCAAAGCCGCCTGGTCAAGCCGGGCGGCGGTCATGGCGGTGGTGGCGGTGGTGGCGGTGGTGGTGGTGGTCATGGCGGTGATGATGGTGGTGATGGCAGTGGTGGTGGTCATGGCGGTGGTGACGGTGGTGGCGGTGGTGGTGGTGGTCATGGCGGTGATGATGGTGGTGATGGCAGTGGTGATGGTGGTGATGGCAGTGGTGGCGGTGGCAGTGGTGGTGGTCATGGCGGTGGTGGTGACGGTGGTGGTGATGGCGGTGGTGGTGGCGGTAGTGGCGGTGGCGGTAGTGGCGGTGGCGGTAGTGGCGGTGGTGGTGGTCGTGGCGGTGGTGATGGTGGTGGTCATGGCGGTGGTGGTGGCGGTGGTGGTGGCGGTAGTGGCGGTGGCGGCAGTGGCGGTGGTGGTGGTCATGGCGGTGGTGATGGTGGTGATGGCAGTGGTGGCGGTGGTGGTGGCGGTGGTCATGGCGGTGGTGGTGATGGCGGTGGTGGTGGCGGTGGTGGTGGCGGTAGTGGCGGTGATGGCGGTGGTGGCGGTGGTGGTAATGGTGGTAGTGATGGCGGTGGTGGTGGCGGTGGTGGTGATGGCGGTGGTGGCAGTGGCTACGCTGTTGCTGCCGCTGCTGCACGTGGCTGCCTGTATTGACCCAGCGCTGCGGATGAGGCAGCAGCAACAGCGAGGGGTTAGCGGATCACCGCACACACAGATGTCGTTGTGAAACTCCCTTCCCGTGGGGCGTTGGGGTGGAGCCGTGTTCCGTGTGCATGGGATCGAGTGTTTCCCCCTCTCACGTGTGGCCCGCAGTGTAATTTTTTTTTTAAATGGAACCCCGCACCCCCCCCCCCCTCACCTTAGCATCTGTGGCCTTTCCAGCACCGGCAGAACCTCGGCCGTGGTCCACAGAGAGGCGATGACGCTGATGATGCCGATGACGTTGATGGTGTTGGCGGTGGCCGAGAGGTTGCGTGTCAATCTCGTCAACATCATCGTCGGACGACGACGACGACGACGACGACGGCTTCTTCCACTCGGCCATGTGGGCCCCGAGTCGGAGCCGGCACCGCCGCTTGTCTGGGAAGGAGTCTCCGCAGACGCCGGGCGCCTTCTTCTCCTGCACGACCACATCACCACCACGCGGCACGGGCCGGCACAGTCACTACTACTGATGTCACTACTACTGCTGCTGATAATACTGCTGTTGCTGCTGCTACTACTACTGTTGTCACTACTACTGCTATTACTACTGCTGCTGCTGCTACTGCTGCTGCTGCTACTACTACTACTGTTGTCACTACTATTGCTATTACTACTACTGCTGCTACTACTGTTGCTGCTGCTACTACTGCTGCTGCTACTGCTGCTGCTACTACTACTGTTGTCACTACTGCTGCTATTACTACTGCTGCTGCTGCTGCTACTATTGCTGCTACTACTGCTACTACTACTGTTGTCACTACTATTGCTGCTGCTGCTACTACTGCTGCTACTACTGCGGTCACTACTACTGATAATACTACTGCTGCTGATACTACTACTACTGCTGTCACTACTACTGCTGCTATTACTACTGCTGCTATTACTACTGCTGCTAATACTTCTACCACTACTACTGCGGATAATACTGCTACTACTACGAATGCTGCTAATACTGCTACCACTACTACTGATACTACTGCTGCTACTACTGCTACTACTACGAATGCTGCTAATACTGCTACTACTGCTGTTATCACGACTGCTGCTACTACTGCTACTGCTTCTACTACTACTGATGTTACTAACTGCTGCTTCTACGATTACTACTGATGTTACTAATACTGCTGCTTCTAGGACTACTACTGCTACTACTACGACTGATGTTACTAATACTGCTGCTTCTATGACTACTACTGCTACTACCGCTGCTGCAACAGGAATGTAAGCGAGTACTTACGGGCTCGTGACCTCCGACGGAATAGCGGCGATCCGTCTTGACCCCTACGAAGACAAGAACACAACAACCGGACGTGAGCACGCAGCTAATACTGCTGCTGCTACTACTACCATACGTGAGCACGCAGCTAATACTGCTGCTGCTACTACTACCGCACGTGAGCACGCAGCTAATACTGCTGCTGCTGCTACTACCGCACGTGAGCACGCAGCTAATACTGCTGCTGCTACTACTACCGCACGTGAGCACGTAGCTAATACTGCTGCTGCTGCTACTACTACCACACGTGAGCACGCAGCTAATACTGCTGCTGCTACTACTACCGCACGTGAGCACGCAGCAGCCGCACGTGAACAAAACGACGACGCACACCCCGACGCACACCCCGACGCACACCCGCAGCGCGTGAGCAGAAACGAGCAGGCGGCTAGGGCGGTGCAAGCGGCCACCAAAATACAGAGACCCCCGCCGGCGTGGGCGGATGTCTCCGTTGCCTCTCGGCGGGGGCGGCTCGCCGCGCCGCGCCGCTCAGGGGCGGTGTGGCACGGAGTTGCGGTTGCGGGCTTTGGGGAGCCCACGCCACGACACCACTCTCCCGTCGGTTACAATGGGCCACCTGGAAAGTTTTTTTTATATATATGCATTATAAAAATAGATACAAATAAATGCTTACCCGTGAAAAATCACGATTGACTAATAACGTTTTTTAGTTTTTTAAACGAAAATCGAACGCGCGAATTATTCCGCACGTGCACAGAGCAACGGACAAACCCCCCCACGCTCTTTGCTCACGGAGGCAGCCGGCAAGGATTGTCACTCAACGTGAGACCCGAGCTGTAGATGTTTTACAAAGCTTGCCTTCCGTCCGCATATTCCACTCAACTCAACACACTACAACAGCAACAGCAACAACAATCATGATTATTATTCGCACTTGCAAGGCACTTTAACAAATGTCTCAAAATGCCACGAATCGCCCGTATTTGCGGCCCGCCCGACACGCCGCCGTGCCGTTCCACTCCCATCGGCCGGTACTTTCGCAGCGGAACATCGCCGGAATCCGTCCACGTGGTGGGTCCAAGTGTGCTGTCGCGAGCGAGCAACCGAGTGAGCAATCGATCGAGTGACGGAGCGACTGAGCGACCGAGCAACCAAATGAGCGAGCGAGCGAGCAACCGAGTGAGCAATCGATCGAGTGACGGAGCGACTGAGCGACCGAGCAACCAAATGAGCGAGCGAGCGAGCAACCGAGTGAGCAATCGATCGAGTGACGGAGCGACTGAGCGACCGAGCAACCAAATGAGTGAGCGAGCGAGCAACCGAGTGAGCAATCGATCGAGTGACGGAGCGACTGAGCGACCGAGCAACCAAATGAGCGAGCGAGCGAGCAACCGAGTGAGCAATCGATCGAGTGACGGAGCGACTGAGCGACCGAGCAACCAAATGAGCGAGCGAGCGAGCAACCGAGTGAGCAATCGATCGAGTGACGGAGCGACTGAGCGACCGAGCAACCAAATGAGCGAGCGAGCGAGCGACCGAGTGAGCAATCGATCGAGTGACGGAGCGACTGAGCGACCGAGCAACCAAATGAGCGAGCGAGCGAGCAACCGAGTGAGCAATCGATCGAGTGACGGAGCGACTGAGCGACCGAGCAACCAAATGAGCGAGCGAGCGAGCAACCGAGTGAGCAATCGATCGAGTGACGGAGCGACTGAGCGACCGAGCAACCAAATGAGCGAGCGAGCGAGCGACCGAGTGAGCGAGCGACCGAACGTGCGAGCAATCGATCGACTGAGCGAGCGACCGAACGTGCAAGCGAGCAATCGATTGAGTGACGGAGCGACCGAGCGACCAAATGAGCGAGCGAGCAACCGAGCGTACAGGCGAGCGACTGAGTGACCAACCGACCGAGCGAGCGAGCGACTGACTGAGCAAGGCAGCGAGGGGGAGCGGCGCTGACCGTGGGTGAGAAGGAGCCGCCTTGTGGAGGCTACACTCTGTGGCAGCGATCGAGAAACTTCGCGCTCCATTTGCCGCGGGGAGAAATGTGCATTAGCGGCGTGCCCGAGACGTGCCACGCTTTGTCCCGGCTGTGCGCACGAGGATTGTGCTTATCAAAAGATAAAAAAAAATCTATATATATAATTGCCGAGTTCATTTCGTATTGTCCCGTTTCTTTATTGCAAGCCAACCGTGCTAAATCGGAGGTGCGGGGGGAAGGTCAACAAACTAAAGACAGCGGACCCCCGGTGATTGATCTGCTGCCAGAACTGCTGCTGCTGTTGCCGCATCCGGGATCCATCCTCCGAGTGTCCGAGCGAGGTTACGCAACGGACTTGGCACGGCATCGTGCCCCGGTGGGGTTCCAAGTTGGGATGAGCGGAGTCTCTTTCGCAGCAACAGTGTTGGCCCAAGTCTGCCGGTCGGGAATAATGCTGCCGATGTGCGTCGAATCTCAATTGAGTAAAACATAATTTTTTGACATTTTTGGACTTTGGGCAAAATATTTACCGCAATGACGATGGCCCGCGGTAATAACCGGGGTGGCCTTCTGGATTCGAACCGTGATCCTCAGTGCTTAGTGCCTATTTGGTTGTTGGCAATGGGTGTCAACGAAACTGCTACCATCACGGATCCTCGCCCGGTACTAAGAAATAAACAACAACAACAAAAACTATCAAATCACCCCCCCCCCCACCGCCGCCCCCCAGAACTCAACCAACCTCTCTCCATGACGGGACGTGCGGCCTGCGGTGGGCGACGCACGCCGTGGGGGGGCGGCCCCCCACCACGAGCGTCGCTGGAGGCGCAGCACCCCGATCTGGAGCAGCAGCAACACGACGACGACGATGAGGACGCCGCCGTTGACGACGACGCCGACGATGACGCGGATGGAGAGCGTGGGCACGAGGCCGCCCCCTCCCGCGACCTCTCCGCAGCGCCGGCTGTTCGGGGGGGGGGGAGGGGGGAGGGGGGGTTCGCGATCAGTTCCCATGGCGTGGCCCTCAGCTGGGTACGGAGGCGCAGCCCCTGCAAGTGCCGGCTCACGCCCACCCCGCGGAAAATGTATCTGCGGAGCGCCGAGATGCGGGTCGCGAGGAGCCCGAAGCGTGCCGAATCCGGAGCGAGCCGCTGGATGGCGCCGCTTCGCCGGGCGTCACTTGGTCTACTCTTCCACGGTGGCCGAAATGTCTTGCAAGAGGCGGGAGTGCCTGGTCGTCACCTCGTCACCACGTGACTCACTGCTGCGAAACCGTTTAGACCACCGGGTCGACAGGGGCGGTGGATTTACGTCCATTGCAATGGTACCAATCGGGCCTCGCAGCAAATATGCGTCCGAGTTCGATTCTCGAATTGGGAAACCTTTCCGCGTGGAGTTTGTGTGTTCTACCCTCGCTCTGCAGAGTGCGAGTGCGTGTGCCTACCGGTCCTGGGCCTCCCCTAGGCTGCCTCAGCCTCAAATGCTGCCAACAAAGATGACGAGACATGGTGCCGGCCACCCACCCCCTCGTGTGCCGTGCCGACCTTCATAGGTGCTGCTCGCTATCACTGCTTGTCGTGGCTACGCGGGGGGGATCTTAGTTCGCCCGGATATCTACGCTCTCCCCCTATTCCGCATGGGGGTTCCTCCGGGCGCTCCGGTATTCCTCCAGTCGCGAAATAAACAAAGTACTCAATTGTGATTGCGCACAATTGAGCAGCAGCCTCGCTCTCCCGCTGTGAAACCGTGGCAGGACCCTCCTCGAAGAGAGTCCTGAGACTCTCCCGGCTGAGCCACGTGTCACGACAAAGGCACGCTGAGAACATTACCTCTGCGTTGAAGCTGTGTGGTGGACGCCACGGCCCTGGTCAGCTGTCGAAGTACAAAAGGAAATTATTCATGGAGAGGCCACGACGCAGCAAGAGTGACGGCGACAGACCAAAAGATGCATCCAGCCACTTGTCAATCCACTGCTGGATTAAGGAACTCCCAACACCCCCCACCCCCATCCCCCCACCAAGGCTGCATCAGCCGTGGTGGTTATTTGAACGCCACTTCGCCCACGCTGGCCACCACGTGTTGACGACAGACACGGTGCGGGGGGAGGGAACCCAGTCGGTGCGGACGCCGCTCGCCGCCGACGTTACCCGCGAGCGGCTATCGAACCCGATTAATAAATATTTCATCAAAAGTGGCGTGGATCGCTTTCCCGCAGCCACGCCCCCCCTCTCCACCCCCGCTGGTGTGACGCTGAATGCAGCAGTACATTGGCAGCGTTTGTTCATCGGCCGTGTCGGGTGGCGGGGTGGATGAGGGTGTTACGACACAGATCCTAACGTACGCGACCTGCCCAGAAGTTCGATTCTTCAGAACCGTGACTACAACGAGCGGCATTTACCCCTGAGGCCGGGAAGTATTCCTTTGGTATGACGCCTTTGCCCGGCTCCCTTTTCCCCGCGGGAGCTTCGTTCTCCTTTCCCGCTGTTCGGCTCCGGCGACCTCTAACCCCGGAGGTCCTGTCGCAGCCAGGTGCATGCTGGGAGGATGGCTGCAGTGCGTTGTCCGTGGCGACCGGCCGCCCCCAGCCAGTGCACCGCTCCACCCCCAGCACCACGTTGTGCGGGCAGTAACTGCAAGAGAGGAAGCGTTGCATGGATAGGTGTACCTCTTACTCTAGTGGTAGTGCCTTACGCCAGTAATTATGTTTGTGGCACTGCTGCTGCTGCTGCTGCTGCGTCGTTGGCGGTGGTGCACAGGCACAGTCAACAATAACAACCCAACGCGTCCATCAATAACACCGTGCATGTGCGTGGCTGTAAAAGGAAAAACATACAACAGTCGACGTTTCTCCAACGGCCCTTCTTCATAGAACATCAGTGCAGCGGGTAAATATCCACAGACAGAAACGCGTTTGCATTGATAGGCAGGTACAATATTTGCAGGCACGCACTCCAGTGTAGGTGAATTAACTACGTGAGAGGTAAGTAGATATACAACGTTGGGGGGATGCTTGGGGAGGCTTTTCTCCAGCGGTGGTGTTACCTGAGTCGTGGGTGGGGTTCCCTGAGCAGTGGGCAGGGCTAACTGAGCAGTAGGCGGGGTTCCCTGAGCAGTGGGCGGGGCTGTGTAAGAGTGGAGCTGCCGGCTCAAAAAACCGTCGTGGCACTTGGGCACAAGTGCGTGCGTGTGTGCGTGTGTATGTGTGCGCGTATGCTCGCGTGTGCACGTGCGTGCTCTCTCCGCTGCTCACTGGATGGAGAAGGCGAGCTCCTCGCAGCTCCACGTGGACACGGGCCGCCCGTTCAGCTCCAAAATGGCGTCCAGCGGCCGCAGGCCCGCACTCTCGGCCGGGCTCCCTGCACCGCGGGGAGCACCAACGCTGACGTCATCGTTCGATCGCGCTGCCTCTTTACACACGACAACAACGATGGGGTAACCCCTCCACAGCCCCCCCAATCCCGCCCCCCCCACCGACCCCTCCATCGACCGAGCAATCACGCGATGATGATGCTCCCGCCCCCCCTCTCTCTACGTCGCTCTGTGTCAGGGCCGTCGCCCGAGAAGTCGCCTCTATTCCCTTAAGGCCGCGGTGCTGTCGGCGAACGCGATGGGGGCCCGGGTGCTGGCGGGCGAGTGGGCGTCGGCCAAGTTAAGAGTAGGTGGGGGCTAAGGGCGGGAGGGGATGCCAGCTCACCGAGCGTGGGCCCGTGTGCGCGTGTCCCTGTTGAGCCTTCGCAGACAGGGCTCGCACTTGCCTGAGTCGACGCTTTGAACGCGCACGGGATCCTTGCCGTGGATCGTGAATCCAAAACCCTCAGCTCCGCGCGAAACCATGACCTTGGACAAAAGAACAAGTCAGGGAAGGAATCGTATGCAGATTTCCGTGCCGCCTACCCAGCGCACCGTGACAGCGGGGACGTAGCCGCATATAAAAGATGCCGTGAATTCACGCGCGTCAGAACTTTGCGGCGATAGCCGGTGCGCTCGCCTGCACGCACTCACCTTCACCGTGTGCTGGCCACAGGAAGAGACGTTCGCTGATGCCGGCCATGAACTTTGCCCGAGCCTGTCTGGAATCGTAAACATCAGATTCATTCAAACAGATGGCTGCCGCAGCCGCTGCTGCTGCAACCGCATTGGCAGCACAATGAATGACAAATCAACTCAAACAAAGCAGAATACATTCAGTTTTCTCCGGGATCTCTGCTTTCCATCCATAGCAACATCGGTCAGTAGGTCCCTATGTAAGTCTTTGGGTCTCTATGTGAGTCGATGGGTCTCTATTTGAATATATGGGTCTCTAGGTGAGTCTATGGGTCTCTGTGTGAGTCTATGGTTCTCTATCTGAGTCTATGAGATTCTGTGTGAGTCTATGGGTCTTTGTGTGAGTTTATGGGTTTATATGGGAGTCAATGGGTCTCTATGTGAGTCTATGGGTCTTTATGTGAGTCTATGGGTCTCTATGCGAGTATATGGGTCTCTATGTGAGTCTATGGGACTCTATATGAGTCTATGGGTATGTGTGAATCTATGGGTCTCTGTGTGAGTCTATGGGTCTCTGTGTAAGTCTATGGGTCTCTATGTGAGTCTATGGGTCTCTGTGTGAGTCTATGGGTCTCTATGTGAGTCTATGGGGCTCTGTATGAGGGTATGGGTCTCTGTATGAGTCTATGGGGCTCTGTATGAGGGTATGGGTCTCTGTGTGCGTCTATGGGTATGTGTGAGTCTATGGGTCTCTGTGCAAGTCCTTAGTGACCGGCCTGAGACCATAAACTCACTGTCACCAGAGAACCCGGTTTAACCACAGGCAGCGACCAAAACCCAGAGTGAAACCGGGCCTCTCCGCCGTGCCGGTCCACGTCTCTGACCCCTAAGCCAACCGGGGTCCACGTCCAGCTCCGCCGTCCATGTTTTTTTTAACGACATCCTCACCTCTGTGGTTCCTGGAGCGCCGCGTGGCAACCTTGAGGTGCTTGGTGCGGCCCAGCTCTTCGGCCAGCAAGTAGTACCAGCCACTCACGTCCTACGGCATGGCGGCAGTGGGGGGGGAGCAGTGGGGGACAGCGGTGGTGATTGTGGAGGGTGGAGGATATTGGTCGGTGGGTGATGTCTCGTGAGGTGAGAGGGTGGTGGTTGAAGTGCGTGGATGGTGGGATGATTTTTGGGTGGTGGTAGTGGTGGTGGTTGGGTGATTCTGGTGGATTGATGGTTGAGTAGCAGTGGTGATGAAGTTTGGGCGGGTGTGTGAGGGGCGAGGTGATGCTGGGTGGGTGGTGGTGATGGTGTTCTGGTGGGTGGGTGTCTGGGTAGGTTTGTTTTTGTGGTTGGTGGTGGTGTTAAGGTCGGTGGGTGTGTGGATAGGGTGGTGATGGTGGTGGTGGTCCGTGGTGGAGGTGATGGTGTTTGGGTTGGTGGGTAAGTGCATGCATCGAAAGGTGATGCTGGTGATAATTTCGGAGATGGTGGTGGTGATGGTGGTGCTGAGCCAATCCTCTAGCAACAGCTTGACCTCGCCACTCTCCAATAAGCGAGTTTTAGAGGGGGGTGCCTCAAGACTCCAACTGCTACAACGTGGCCAGACCCACGCGATGAAGGCGAGCGAAACGTGCGATGCACCCCCAGTGCCCATGAGTACCTTGGCCGCCATCATCAGCGAACGGACGCCAAAGCTCATGCATCCCAGCAGCTCGCTGTGCCTGCGACAGCAAACGGGCACCGCTGAACGCTCCGGATTCACTCCACTCCCCTCCATGCTCTCTCCTGCCTCCCCCTCTCATCTCACTCCACTCCCCTCCACGCACTCTCCTGCATCCACTCTCCAGCCTCCATGCACTCTCCTGCCTCTCCCCTCTCATCTCACTCCACGCTCTCTCCTGCCTCTCCCCTCTCATCTCACTCCACTCCCCTCCACGCTCTCTCCTGCCTATACCCTCTTTTCTCACTCTACTCCCCTCCACGCACTATCCTGCCTTTCCCCTCTCAGCTCACTCTACTCCCCTCCACGCCCTCTCCTGCCTCTCCCCTCTTATCTCACTCCACTCCCCTCCACACACTCTCCTACCTCTCCCCTCTCATCTCACTCTACTCCCCTCCACACACTCTCCTGCCTCTACCCTCTCATCTCACTCTACTCCCCTCCATGCACTCTCCTGTCTCTCCCCTCTAATCTCACTCTACTCCCCTCCACGCACTCTCCTGCCTCTCCCCTCTCATCTCACTCTACTCCCCTCCACGCACTCTCCTGCCTCTCCCCTCTCATCTCACTCTACTCCCCTCCACGCACTCTCCTGCCTCTCCCCTCTCATCTCACTCTACTCCCCTCCACGCACTCTCCTACCTCTCCCCTCTCATCTCACTCTACTACCCTCCACACACTCTCTTACCTCTCCCATCTCATCTCACTCTACTCCCCTCCACGCACTCTCCTACCACTCCCCTCTCATCTCACTCTACTACCCTCCACGCTCTCTCCTGCCTCTCCCCTCTCATCTCACTCTACTCCCCTCCACGCACTCTCCTGCCTCTCCCCTCTCATCTCACTCTACTCCCCTCCACGCACTCTCCTGCCTCTCCCCTCTCATCTCACTCCACTCCCCTCCACGCACTCTCCTGCCTCTCCCCTCTCATCTCACTCTACTCCCCTCCACGCACTCTCCTGCCTCTCCCCTCTCATCTCACTCTACTACCCTCCACACACTCTCTTACCTCTCCCCTCTCATCTCACTCTACTCCCCTCCATGCACTCTCCTACCTCTCCCCTCTCATCTCACTCTACTACCCTCCACGCTCTCTCCTGCCTCTCCCCTGTTATCTCACTCTACTCCCCTCCACGCACTCTCCTACCTCTCCCCTCTCATCTCACTCCACTCCCCTCCACGCACTCTCCTGCCTCTCCCCTCTCATCTCACTCTACTCCCCTCCACGCACTCTCCTGCCTCTCCCCTCTCATCTCACTCTACTCCCCTCCACGCACTCTCCTGCCTCTCCCCTCTCATCTCACTCTACTCCCCTCCACGCACTCTCCTGCTTCTCCCTCTCATGTTACTCTACTCCCCTCCACACACTCTCCTGCCTCTCTCCTGTCTTCTCACTCTACTCCCCTCCACGCACTCTCCTGCCTCTCCCCTCTCATCTCACTCTACTCCCCTCCACGCACTCTCCTGCCTCTCCCCTCTCATCTCACTTCACTCCCCTCCACACACTCTCCTGCCTCTCCCCTCATCTCACTCTACTCCCCCTCCACGCACTCTCCTGCCTCTCCCCTCTCATCTCACTCTACTCCCCTCCACGCACTCTCCTGCCTCTCCCCTCTCATCTCACTCTACTCCCCTCCACGCACTCTCCTGCCTCTCCCCGCTCATCTCACTTCACTCCCCTCCACACACTCTCCTGCCTCTCCCCTTATCTCACTCTACTCCCCCTCCACGCACTCTCCTGCCTCTCCCCTCTCATCTCACTCTACTCCCCTCCACGCACTCTCCTGCCTCTCCCCTCTCATCTCACTCTACTCCCCTCCACACACTCTCCTGCCTCTCCCCTCTCATCTCACTCCACTCCCCTCCACACACTCTCCTGCCTCTCCCCTCTCATCTCACTCCACTCCCCTCCACACACTCTCCTGCCTCTCCCCTCTCATCTCACTCCACTCCCCTCCACACACTCTCCTGCCTCTCCCCTCTCATCTCACTCCACTCCCCCTCCACGCACTCTCCTGCCTCTCCCCTCTCATCTCACTCTACTCCCCCTCCACGCACTCTCCTGCCTCTCCCCTCTCATCTCACTTCACTCCCCTCCACACACTCTCCTGCCTCTCCCCTCATCTCACTCTACTCCCTCTCCACGCACTCTCCTGCCTCTCCCCTCTCATCTCACTCTACTCCCCTCCACGCACTCTCCTGCCTCTCCCCTCTCATCTCACTCTACTCCCCTCCACACACTCTCCTACCTCTCCCCTCTCATCTCACTCTACTCCCCTCCACGCACTCTCCTGCCTCTCCCCTCTCATCTCACTCTACTCCCCTCCACACACTCTCCTACCTCTCCCCTCTCATCTCACTCTACTCCCCTCCACGCACTCTCCTGCCTCTCCCCTCTCATCTCACTCTACTCCCCTCCACGCACTCTCCTACCTCTCCCCTCTCATCTCACTCTACTCCCCTCCACGCACTCTCCTGCCTCTCCCCTCTCATCTCACTCTACTCCCCTCCACGCACTCTCCTGCCTCTCCCCTCTCATCTCACTCTACTCCCCACCACGCACTCTCCTACCTCTCCCCTCTCATCTCACTCTCCTCCCCTCCACGCACTCTCCTGCCTCTCACCTCTCATCTCACTCCACTCCCCCTCCACATGCTCTCCTTGCTCGCTGTGACTGGGACTCACCGGCTTTGCCGATCGAAGCTCCACACGCCAATGAGTAGCCTCTTGTTTTCATCTTCTGCCTGCAGAACGCTGCGTGCGGGAAGATAAATCATCATTAATCTCCATCCCCCTCCTGCCTCTCCGCGAGGCCACGTGTGTGCCACGCGGGGTCACGACGGCTCCCGTCAAGGTCACCCAGCACGATAGAGATGTTGAGTGTAAAGTTTCGATGCCATTAAGCAAATCCCCTAGTGGTGATGCTGCTGCGTTGGCAGGGGTGCACAAGCGCAGTTAGCAATACTGCTCAACGTGTTCCACGTCAATACACACTTTGACTTTAATGGGGGAACAAAAAATACATATATAAAATGGGTGATATCTCAGACGATGGCTCTTCTTCTTTTATAGTGCCATGAAGAAGGACCATTGCCCGAAGCGTCGGCTATTATATATACTTCCATTGAAGGCTATGCATTGTTACTGACAGATGCGTTGAGTGTTTTTTGCGGCACTCTCTGAGTGACATGCCGAGAGGGAAGGAAGAAATCCCGGCGCTTGGTGGATTCAGCCTTTCAGGCGCAGGCATTGATGTGACAGGGTGGGTGTGCATCTCCCCTCCCTCCGTGATGACGTCCCCGCGACGTCACCGCGCGTCGAGGCGACGTCGTCACGGAGGGAGGAGGCTCCGACAGTAACGTCGTTATTGTTGTAGTTGTTATCATTATCGTTACCGTCACGAATTCAACACTTTTCACAGACAAAAGGCCCGCGGCTAACAATGTGGCCAAGCCCGTGCATTTGCTCGATTTTGTCTTCCCTGCTATTATCGATCCAGGTGAGAGCCTCGTTTAATCGACGCAGCCAATAGCGTCGCTTTGAATGTGACCACAGCGCGCGGAGAAGAGGGGGCGGTGGTGTTTGGGGTCGGCGATTTACAAGGCGAGGTGCTCGTGGAAGACCGGGCCCTTGCAGTCGGGCACCATCCTCGTTCTGCAACGCTGCTTCCGCTCCAGGTCTGGCACCAGCGCCAACTAAAATGGGGGGTGGGGGGGGAGAAAGAGGTGGAGGGGGGGGGTGCGAGGGGTAGTGACCGTCAGAGTCGCGAGAGGTGACTCAGCCCGGAGTGCAGCGAGCGTCACGGTTTTAGCCCCAGCGGGCCGCCCTGGTAAACGTCGCGGCTGGCATTCATCACGACCGCCACCGCGCCGCCTGCCACTCCACGGCGGAGGTTGAGAGATCCCCGTCGCATCGTTCGAGCTGACTCCGTGAGCGGAGGGCGTCGCGGCGGCACTGGAAGTGCAGTGCCGTCCGTCCGTCTGATCGCGAGCACCGGCTCAACACGAGGGGGGCGTAGGATTCACACCCCCCCCCCCCACCCCCGACCTTCATCTCCGGCGGTTGGGTTGTCACGATTCATGGCCCCAGCTTGCTTCAATCGTTTAAATATCGTCTCCCACCGCCTGCCCGTGTTCCCGTAGGCGTTAGTACCGTTGTTCACCCCATCTCTATCTCCATAAGGATCGAGCCTCCCATAAACCACGTGACTTCCATGTGTCCCCGCCCCCACTCTGAACCCCTCCCACCCTCACCACCCGCTGGAAAAACAAACTCCTCCCCCTCCTCCCTCTCCTGCCCCTCCTCCTCTTCCTATTCCCCCTCCTCCCCCGCCAACCAACTCCGCCCCCGCCATCCTCATCCATCCCCCTCCTATTCCTCCTCCCCCTGCTCCTCCTGATGCAGCCCCTCCCTCCTCCCACTCCAGTTTCACCATTCCTTTTCCGTCCTGTCCCTCTGATCTCCCGTTCATCCCCTGCTCCCTTCCAGCAACTGATTTGCGAAGGGCCGATAATAATGATAATAATGGTACCTTGACGTATGAGTTGCAGGTCTGGAACTCCTTTCCCACCAGCCCCTTGGCTTCCATGACTGAGTCACACACAAAGACAAAGATCACCCGTATAGCCTTTGACAGACTGTTGGGGCAAGTGCTGTTAGCGAGCACCTACGAAAGACCAGAACGGCACACGAGGGGGTGGGTGGCCAGCACCACGCCCGACCGCCTTTGTCTCCCCAGTGGCGATGTTTACACACATCACACCAGGTACTCATTTAAGGCCGAGTCGACCTAGGGGAGGCCCATGACCGGTTCTGTGAGCGGGAATCGAACTCGGGCCGCCGGGTTCCTAGCACGGCGTAGCGCTAACCACTGCGCCACCGCTCCCCATCGCACAGACACCGCCGTAAACGTACAACGCATTCATCCGAAGTCCACGTCAACATCGACTCAACTGCAAGCCAGAATCAAACCCAGGCGGCCAGATTTGTAGCGCTCGCGCGCTAACCGCTGCACCACTCTCCCGGGTCACTTTGTTTTTGTATAAGCCGTTGTTGCGGAGCAGACGTCCAAAGGCCCCAAAACGCCAAGGGACTAGCAACAAACAGCACTCTTATTAGAGTCGCACTCGGTAAGAGTGTAACACACATCTTGAATTGTGGTTATTATTATTATTTAACAAGAGGTTGTGAATGAGAGGCGAGGGTGACGATGATTATGATGGGAGGAGGGAATTCCAGAGTGCGGCAGTGTGAGGGAAGGAGCAGAGAGAGAGAGAGGTGAGGTGACCAGCGGGGTGGTGAGTGGGCGGGGGGGTGAGTGACTGTGCGAGTGGCTGAGTGAGTTGTGACCTGTGGTATGGTGAGTGGGCGGGGGGGGTGAGTGACTGTGCGAGTGGCTGAGTGAGTTGTGACCTGCGGTATAGTGAGTGGGCGGGGGGATGAGTGACTGTGCGAGTGGCTGAGTGAGTTGTGACCTGCGGTGTGGTGAGTGGGAGGGGTGGTGAGTGACTGTGCGAGTGGCTGAGTGAGTTGTGACCTGTGGTGTGGTGAGTGGGAGGGGTGGTGAGTGACTGTGCGAGTGGCTGAGTGAGTTGTGACCTGTGGTGTGGTGAGTGTGGAGGGGGGGTGAGTGACTGTGCGAGTGGCTGAGTGAGTTGTGACCTGCAGTATGGTGAGTGGGCGGGGGGGTGAGTGACTGTGCGAGTGGCTGAGTGAGTTGTGACCTGTGGTGTGGTGAGTGGGAGGGGGGGTGAGTGACTGTGCGAGTGGCTGAGTGAGTTGTGACCTGTGGTGTGGTGAGTGGGAGGGGGGGTGAGTGACTGTGCGAGTGGCTGAGTGAGTTGTGACCTGTGGTGTGGTGAGTGGGAGGAGGGGTGAGTGACTGTGCGAGTGGCTGAGTGAGTTGTGACCTGTGGTGTGGTGAGTGGGCGGGGGGGTGAGTGACTGTGCGAGTGGCTGAGTGAGTTGTGACCTGCGGTGTGGTGAGTGTGGAGGTGAGTGAATGAGTGAGTGGATGAGTGAATGGGTGAATGACTCTGAATGTGTGAGTCGGTGAGTGGATGAGTGAGTGAGTGTGTCGTTGTGACCTGCAGTGGTGGTGGTTGACTACAGCGGTGGTGGTGGTTGACCAGTGGTGATGGTGGTTGATTACAGCGGTGGTGATTAATCACGGTGGTGAGTGTGCTGGTGGTTGTGGTTGACCACAGAGGTGACGGTGGAGCCGCTGCTGGCTGAAGGTCTCCCGCTGGAGGTGGACGCTGCCCGGGGTGGGGGCTGCACTCACCGTGGACGCTGAGCGACGTCTCCTCCACATCGATGGAGAGCTTCAGTTGACCTGCAACGCATCGCACACCCAGGGCTCTCCTCTCAAACCGCTCGTTGTTTTTATTCAACCCCCACCCCCCCCCCCCCCCCCCCATAGTTTAAAACAAAGACAAAACCCCTCCACCCCCTCTCCCCCGTATAGCCTCAACAGACTGTCGGGGCAAGTGCCGTTCGCGAGGAGCAGCGCCCTGTGACGGTCGGCGCCGTGGCACACGAGGGGGCCGGGTGGGTGGCCACCACCACGCCCGGCCGCCTTTGTCTCCCCAGTGGCCATGTTTACTACACACCGTACCGGGTACGGTATTCATTTTGAGGCTGAGTCGACCTGGGGGAGGCCCATAACCGGTTCAGATAATCGTCACCGGTGTTGGCCGCGAGCAGGAATCGAACCCGGGTCGTGAGGTTCGCAGCGCAGCGAGGCGCTAACCGCTCCACCGCCGCTCCCCGCTCGGTTTAAACCGGGCACGCTCGCACTCGCACGCAAAGTGACCGCGATTTGGTCAAGGACATCCCAAACGCTGCAAAAATGGCATGCGACAGTAGCAACAGCGGCAGCAGCAACAGCAGCAACAGCAGCAACAGCAGCAACAGCAGCAGTGGCAGCAGCAGCAACAGCAGCAACAGCAGCAGCAGCAGCAGCAACAACAGCAGTGGCAGCAACAGCATCAGCAGCGGCAGCAGCAGCGGCAACAGAAGCGGCAACAGCAGCGGCAGCAGCAGCGGCAGCAGCTGCAGCAGCGGCAGCGGCAACAGCAGCAGCAGTGGCAGCAGCAGCAGTGGCAGCAGCAGCAGGGGTAGCAGTGTCAACAGCAGCAGCAGCAACAGCAGCAACAGCAGCAGCAGTAGCAGCAGCGGCAGTGGCAACAGCCTTGAGACTCTGCAAGACGATCCTGGATGGTCGCCATCGTCATTGTCATCACTGCTATTGTCATTGTCATCACTGCTATTGTCATTGTCATCACTGCTATCGTCATTGTCATCACTGCTATTGTCATTGTCATCACTGCTATTGTCATTGTCATCACTGCTATTGTCATTGTCATCACTGCTATTGTCATTGTCGTCACTGCTATTGTCATTGTCGTCACTGCTATTGTCATTGTCATCACTGATGTTGTCATTGTCATCACTGCTATTGTCATTGTCATGACTGCTATTGTCGTTGTCATCACTGCTATTGTCATTGTCATCACTGCTATTGTCATTGTCGTCACTGCTATTGTCATTGTCATCACTGCTATTGTCATTGTCATCACTGCTATTGTCATTGTCATCACTCCTATTGTCGTTGTCATCACTGCTATTGTCATTGTCATCACTGCTATTGTCGTTGTCATCACTGCTATTGTCATTGTCGTCACTGCTATTGTCATTGTCATCACTGATGTTGTCATTGTCATCACTGCTATTGTCGTTGTCGTCACTGATGTTGTCATTGTCATCACTGCTATTGTCATTGTCGTCACTGCTATTGTCATTGGCATCACTGCTATTGTCATTGTCATCACTGCTATTGTCGTTGTCATCACTGCTATTGTCATTGTCGTCACTGATGTTGTCATTGTCATCACTGCTATTGTCGTTGTCATCACTGATGTTGTCATTGTCATCACTGCTATTGTCATTGTCGTCACTGCTATTGTCGTTGTCATCACTGCTATTGTCATTGTCGTCACTGCTATTGTCATTGTCATCACTGATGTTGTCATTGTCGTCACTGCTATTGTCATTGTCATCACTGCTATTGTCATTGTCGTCACTGCTATTGTCGTTGTCATCACTGCTATTGTCATTGTCATCACTGCTATTGTCATTGTCATCACTGCTATTGTAATTGTCATCACTGCTATTGTCGTTGTCGTCACTGCTATTGTCGTTGTCATCACTGCTATTGTCGTTGTCATCACTGCTATTGTCATTGTTATCACTGCTATTGTCATTGTCGTCACTGCTATTGTCGTTGTCATCACTGCTATTGTCATTGTCATCACTGCTATTGTCATTGTCATCACTGCTATTGTCATTGTCATCACTGCTATTGTCATTGTCATCACTGCTATTGTCATTGTCATCACTGCTATTGTCATTGTCATCACTGCTATTGTCATTGTCATCACTGCTATTGTCATTGTCATCACTGCTATTGTCATTGTCGTCACTGCTATTGTCATCACTGCTATTGTCATTGTCATCACTGCTATTGTCATTGTCGTCACTGCTATTGTCATTGTCGTCACTGCTATTGTCATTGTCGTCACTGCTATTGTCATTGTCATCACTGCTATTGTCATTGTCATCACTGCTATTGTCATGGTCATCACTACTATTGTCATTGTCACCACTGATATTTAAAGGTAGCCAGCCACGCTGATATTATCAGCTGAGACGACAATTGTCCCCGACCGCCGTCTTTTCGAAACGGAAGTGGCTTTGCGTTTTTATTGTCGAGGGATAGAGAGAGAAACGTGAAACGTCTGACAATGGCCGAGTTCTCCGGAGAGGCTTCGGCTCTGATGATGCAATTAGAACTCATAACTTTTATTTATTTATTTCAGGGACGCCACGGTAGTGAGATGTTAACTACCTCGCCTGATATACAGGAGGTCGTGGGTTCGATCACGACCCTGACGCCTGCTGCTGTATATTTGGAGTTTGCATGTCTCTCTCTCATCATCATCATCACGGTGGCTAGGAGATGTTAACTACCTCGCCTGGTATACAGGAGGTCGTGGGTTCGATCACGACCCTGACGCCTGCTGTATATTTGGAGTTTGTGTTCTCTCTCCCTCTCTCTAATCATCATCACGGTGGCTGAGATGTTAACTACCTCACCTGGTGTACAGGAGGTCATGGGATCGATACCGACCCTGACGCCTACTGCTGTATATTTGGAGTTTGCGTGTCTCTCTCTCATCATCATCACGGTGGCTGAGATGTTAACTACCTCGCCTGGTGTGCAGGAGGTCATGGGATCGATACCGACCCTGACGCTTGCTGCTGTATATTTGGAGTTTGCGTGTCTCTCTCTCATCATCATCACGGTGGCTGAGATGTTAACTACCTCGCCTGGTGTGCAGGAGGTCATGGGATCGATACCGACCCTGACGCCTACTGCTGTATATTTGGAGTTTGCGTGTCTCTCTCTCATCATCATCACGGTGGCTGAGATGTTAACTACCTCGCCTGGTGTGCAGGAGGTCATGGGATCGATACCGACCCTGACGCCTGCTGCTGTATATTTGGAGTTTGCGTGTCTCTCTCTCATCCCCGTGGTCGCGTGGATTTTTTTCCGGATCCTCCGGTTTTTCTCTCCACATTTAGAAACACGCGTTTAGACTATTCCGATTGTGTTGCTGCTAGAAATGTCTACACAATAAGCCACTTTTGGCCGGGTCACTTTTGAACAATAAGTGAATACCTCGGTGGGATTTGTCTGGTCGGATGGGGATGGTTTAGTTGCATTTGTATGCGCTTGGGTCATTTGTCTACCTGTCTTGTACTTTACAATACTGTCGTGTGTTTTTGTAACTGTTTGATGTTGTAACAATCTTACCCCGTGCCCCTACTGGACATCTCCATATATTAAAGGAAAAGTTGTGATTATGTGTGTCTGTTCAAAATGTTTAGCATACTTCCTGAAATGCAACAAACTTGAAATTTGCCATGTGGATACTTTACAGACTGTACACCATGCAAACATTATAAAAATACACTTATTTATTTTGGGGGGGGGGGAGCTCAATAATGCATATTTTTTTGCACGGCAAGTGAGCTGTGACGTCACATCTGTCACGTGACCCACGCATGTGGAAGCGTAACGCATTGTAGTGTCGTGGTTAGCGTGCCGCGCTACGAACCCGGCGAACCGAGTTCGATTCCGGCTCACGGCCACCGCCGGTGACGATTATTTGAACCGGTCCTGGGCCTCCCCTAGGTCGACTCAGCCTCAAACAATTACCTGGTCTGGTGTGTGAACATCACCACTGGGGAGACAAAGGCGACCGGGCGTGGTGAATCCAAATCCCGGGCGAAGGCGGGTAGTAAAGCTAGTCTGTGATAAAAAAAAAAGCTTCATAGCTCATCGGATTCCCCCAAGCACAAAAACACATTCACATTCTTCGCCGCAGTCCGGCAGGCACCCGAGACTTTGCAGAACAATTCCGGTCCAGGGCGCGTGGCTCAGCGTCTCCGCCGCTCCGCGCTCTAGCGGCAGGTGCACGCGAGTCCGTGAGACCCTGGCGGTCGTGAGTCCGTGAGACGCCCTTGCCTCACCAGGGAGTCGGATCTCAACTGAACGTATCAGGCAAGATGCTTGCCACCCACCTGTGTCCATCTCTCATCATCCTCCTCCTCCTCCCTGTGCCCAATCTCGTTGTCGATATTTCTGCACCCACCCCCTTCCAACCCCTCCACTGGAATATACATTAAACAGCAGTGTCCATAGACTCAATACCGTCCATAGACTCAACACTGCCCATTGACTCAATACCACCCATAAACTCAACACTGTCCATAGACTCAATACCGCCCATAGACTCAACACTGCCCATAGACTCAACACCACCCATAAACTCAACACTGTCCATAGACTCAACACTGTCCATAGACCCAACACCGCCCATAGACTCAACACCGCCCATAGACCCAACACTGTCCATAGACTCAACACCGCCCATAGACCCAACACCGCCCATAGACTCAACACCGCCCATAGACTCAACACTACCCATAGACTCAACACTGCCCATAGACCCAACACCGCCCATAGACTCAACACTGCCCATAGACTCAACACCGCCCATAGACCCAACACCGCCCATAGAATCAACACTGCCCATAGACTAAACACCGCCCATAGACCCAACACTGCCAATAGACTCAACACCGCCCATAGACTCAACACTGCCCATAGACCGAAGACCGCCCATAGACCCAACACCGCCCATAGACTCAAGACCGCCCATAGAATCAACACTGCCCATAGACTCAACACTACCCATAGACTCAAAA